TAATCTAGAGGTTCACTGGGAGAGAGGAATTCCAGAAAGGGGGAAAAATTAGCAAATGCCAGCCACGTATTTCCGTTTTGGAAATTAGCCAAATAATCACATAAGAAAATTCCTCAAACTGGAGAGGATGAAACTTCATAGTGAAAAGATCCCAACAGCAAGACACGTCATTGTGAAACATCAGATCACCAGACACAGAAACACGGTCCCAGTAGCTGCTAGAGAGAGAAAGTACATCACCCCCAAATAAGGAATTTGAGTGGCCTTACCATGCCTTACCTTTCCCCACCTGATGGGGAAAGTTAGCAGAACATATGCTTTCCTTTCTCAAAAGCTATTGTCCCTACCTAGTATTAAATCCCTAGTCATAGGATGAATCAAATTTAAGGCCAGAAGATTTTCTGATGTACAATAAACAAAAACTTGCTTCTCATACAGTCTTATGAAGATGCAAAAGGTATGTTTCTGCAAAATGAAAAACAAAAAAAACTTTTTTTCAAACTAAGGAAAACTGTATGGGATCCAGGAAAGACAAAATCGAGTTTTTTAGCAATGAAAAGTTTTAGGATAAAAGATCTGTGTTAAGCTTAGACTAAGTATAGCCACACTTCTTGAGATAGGTGCCTGTTGAACTGTAGGGAATTAAGTTCATGGATAAAAGAAAGAAAAAAAAAGATACAGGAAGAATATTTTAAAATATACTTAAGCTTATAGCAAATTGACTGAAATAGTTCACAGAGATAACCATTTAAATAAATCAAAGTACCACCCCCATCAAAATAACCCCAAATCCCCAAAAAATAGAGTCCAGGAAAAATAAAACACCACTATGAAAGACTAAGCTCCTGAGAAGTGAATAACTTTGATATATTTATAATAAGGTAAACAGTGAAGAGTTAGTTTAAAAAACACACATGTAAAATAACCAATAAAAAGATAAAGGCAAAGGGTGAGTGATAAGATATAAAACCAGAACCACAGTAATGGGAAGTTAAAAAAACCCTGCATGAAATGAATGAATTGAGAAACAGCAGTGGGTGAACATTATGGAGGAAACTGGGATCAAATGTCACAACTTTCCCAATGGTCCACGCTGGTTGCCTCTTGAAAATCAGGCTGGAGGTTGAGGAGGTGTGCAGTTTTATTTTTACACCAAGAAGTGTAATGATTTATGGGCAAAGTCTCTGCTATTTTCTAATATGAGAGCAGCTGACAATAAAAGCACGAGAAGAGCGTGTGGCAGTTACATAATCTCCTGTCAACTTGAGAAGGACTGGAGTCTAGCTGTCTATCAGGTCATAGCCAATGACACCTCTGTGTGGGCATGGCCTTCTCCTGAGGATTCTGGGAACTCCTGCCTTCCTCCCTGGAGGTGGGACACACACATACCCTCTGCTTCATCTCCCTGTGAGACATTCCCCTTTTGACAAGCCACATGGAGCTATGCTGATGAAGCTGGAGGAGCCAACTGGAGACCCATGCCAGCGCTGAGATGCTTCCACCACCACTGGATCCAATGAGTTTCCACCCACCAGCCAGTGACCTTCCTGCATTCAGCGTCATTGCATGTGCTACGTGAGTCTGAAGAGGAATTTATAGACTGGTAATGGGCATATGGGCTAATATTGGACTTAATCTGGACTGGGCTGGGATGTTTTCTTAATATACAATTACTCTTTAAATAAAGCTCTTTCATGTACACAGGAGTATCTATGAAATTTGTTTCTCTAGTCTACCCAGACTAACACAGAGAACAAAAACATTACGAGTTTTCTTCAAAGACCTTTATGAACATCTGAAAAATGTACAAACATCTTTGAATTTTGAACTGCAGGAGCAGAAAGTAGGGACACATTTAATTTTAAAACTGATTTTAACTTAAAAGTTGATTGTACTCCTGAGAAACTTAAAATCTTAATCTACCCAAATAACACAACATCCCAAAAAAGCAAAGCAGGCAAAACATGATACATTGTACACAGTACCCCTTATTATCAGAAGAACTTGTTGAAAACTTTTTATTTATATACATTCTCACACTCTGATGAATCCTGAAACTGAATCATCCTCACCTGAAACTGAATTACTCACTGACCTTTTGCAAATTTCGTCAGATAGTTCCTTCAATAATAGTTCACCGTTAGCTACGAAACTCATTCTGGGAGTTATAAAAAGATGACTGTCAACTGTCCATTTCACTGCCTATTCTTTCTTGGCTATTAAGGTTGCACTAGAATGGTACGTAGGAGAAATTCAAGAAGGGGAACAAAGAGGTGGGATGTAGTAAACTTTGCCACCAACTAATGGAACTCGGCCACTATACTCATTCTATGGGCCATTATTTCCTCACATGTAAATCAAGAAATAAATCTATTTCTCCACAAAATAGGGTATTAGGGGGCTCAAAAAGTGTGTGGAAAAATTCCATTATCTTTTCATTTCACTTTCCAGGGCACTTTCTGAAGCCCCTCAGGTTCCTGAAGCCAGAAAAAAAGTAATTAAGAACAAAATGAAATGACAAGTAAACTCAAACCACTTGCAATTCCAGGCCTACAAGGATAGCATGGCTGGTCCTTTGATATGTGTCTTTTCAGAATTATTTACACATGTAAGGTACTCCTTATCAGTACCTACTCCTTTCTCAGCAACTTCCTGGTTAACTGACATTTCACATTATTACAAAAGTAAAAAATCTACTGGCCGTTTTGCACATTAAATACATCTGAACACTGAGGTGTGATGTGAAACGCGGGCTATTGAGGTGATGTGTTCTGTCGACTGGACTACAGTACCAAGAGGTTTGCTTGTTGTGTGTGCATGTAGTGGTGGTCTGTCTGCTTCCATTTCCACTTAATGTTGCTTTTCATAAAACTACCTGGTCTTTGAATCCTAACCATGCTGTTAAGTGAGGTTGGTGTGTATTAAAAAAAAAAAAAGTTATGATACATAATACTAAACCTGAAATTTTCACTTATGTATATTTAACATTCTTTTAGAATGTTTTAATTCTAACATTATATAGACAGATAACAATTTATTTCACTCCTCTCCTAATGTGCTTGATCTCAATGATAAATACTGCAAATATCATTCCTGGATTTTCCTTAGGGCTTTTAACTTGGAACCCAAGCAGAGAGGTACAAACCCACAGGCATCAAAGACAGCTTGGAAAGTACACTTAATTTGACTATTCCCTTTGATTTTTTCCTTTAACATAAATTCTTCGGCCTGAAATACTTGAACTAAAGGGGAAACAACATTCTATGACTTTTGATGCCTCAGGCCAAACTGTTGTTCAGAATGGCTGAGACAGCTTTACATTCCTACCAGCAGTATACTGAATGTTTTCCAAGTAGCAAACACCAAACCAGTATTTTCCATTCAAGCCTGCTCCGTTTGACTTATAACAATATCTCGCTTAAGTCTACGATTTCCCTGACTATTAGTCTAGATCAGGAGTTGCCAAGCTGCAGTGCTAGAGCCATATGCGGCTCAGTGGGTTTGTACATGTGGCTCTGATGGAAACTTGGAAATAAAAAGAACACTATCATAGTTTAATTTATAATATTACTTTAAATTTCTCTTATTTGTAAAAATATTTGTATGACTCAAATATTTTTTAGATTGTTGTGAGGGACAAGATTGGCTCTTCCATTTCTGCTTTCTTTTCAGAAAAAAATAATTTTCTCTTCTATCTCTGCCCCACTTTCAGAAAAACAATTACTCAGTGCCCCTGGCAATGAAAACATTTTGTGCTCTCTAGCTCATAATACAGGATAAAATGTAGGCACTGTATTTGCTTTTGCAGCATCCAGCATGCTGCCCCTCTCCCCACAGCAGTATCACCTATTTTGGGGAAAGCATATTTCAAAAATATATATTTCTAGTTCTAAAATACAATGCCTTTTTATGACATGCATAACTGCCAACTAGATTAATGGACTGTTGGTCAGAATCAACTTGATGGTTAAGTAGTTTGGCTTTTGGAGGCCAGTATACAAAGAGTCCTGATAGAGCAACAAAGGCTAAATGCTTGGATGCTAACCTAAAGGCCGCAGTTTCAAGCTCACCCAGTGGCTCTAAGTGAAAAGACTTGGTGATCTGTTTCATTAAAGACCGCAGCCAAGAAATCTCTCAGAAAGTAGTTGTATCTTGTCATGTGGAGGTTCTCAGAGTGTGAAGGGACTCAACAGAGCTAACAACAACAAAGGACGATTAACAAGACAATGTATCATTGCGAATAATGGCCTTGAATTATTTACAAAAAATTACCTTACTGTTATAAATATGAAATCTGTGAGAACACTGATAATACTATGTAAATCTAACATTTTGCTTTTCTTATGAACCATTATCTCTAGTGGAAATTCCAAATCACTGTATGAATAAACATAGTGAGTATTACTGTGGTTTGAAAGTGAAATTAATGCATGAGCCTGGAAGTTGTCTACGACATTGCACTTGATACTTAAAGAAGACTAACAGAACACAACGTTGCAAATATTTGCTCACTTGATGAGCGGTACCTGACTTCTAGACAGTTAGTTTTAATTCAATTGCTAATAAAACTAAATTTATAGAATTTTTCATCTTCACTCTTATATTAACATAGAATATTTTTCACACAAATGCATAACACAGTTCACAATAATGGTAACCCCTCATTTTTTTTTCTAGGCAGTAAAAATCAGAGAATCGGATACATTTTTTCTGAACAAAATATGCTTTTACAGTATTGAGTCTTTCCCTAAACTTGCACTCAAAATATTATGTCAGTCATGATTATAGGGTAAACTTCTTAAACAAAAGGAAAAGAAAAAAGAGGGCTAGATGAACACTAATTTACAAAAACTGAGCTGCCAGTTTAATTCCCACATTCCTATGCTTTTACTAATTTAATTTTAAGACTTCATGAGTTCAATCTCTGTAAACCTTTCCATCCAAGATTTGTCTTTGCAACAACAGACAAAACAAAAGCAACCACTACAGAGAATACTTACTTTGATTCGGTGATCATCCGTGTCTGCAACAGTGGCTACTCTAATAAACATGGGATTTCTTTTGTCTACGGCCTCCAGTCTCATTTTCTTCTGGAATCCATGTGGAGGTTTCTGCCATAACAGAAAAGCGTATACACCGAAGTTTAAAGGAAGAGCTAGTACAAAAAGTGGGCTCATGGGCACAAGGACAGAAAAAAAAAAAGAGGAGCTATTTAGAGAAACAGCCTATCAGAACTCTCAAGAGGCCAGTGGCTCTGGCCTTCACCCTCCCATCAAAAAGCACACTCCCAACCCACACGCGCACAGGGCCGTAGGAGCCGGCATCAGCCAGGCACCTAGTGACAAAAGCAAACAAGGAAGGTTGAAGCAGAAGGCCTTAAGATGAGATTTTAAAAGCTGTGTTTGTTTGTTTAACCAAAAGTAACACAAGAAACCTTCCAAAGGGGTTGGAGGCATCTTGGCATAAGATCAACAAGCAAGAAAACTGTTTTTAAGAGAGAAGAATTTTAATGTGACTGAGAGGAGACATCAAGATTAGAAATGGTAAAGCATGCCTGTAAAACAAAGAAAATGAGCAATAGAAACACACAGCTGAAACAACTCCTGCAGGTGCAGGAGTGAGGAAGGAGCCCACAGCTTCCTCGGTACTCAGCAGACACCCGTGAACCACTGAGGAAGGACATGCAATGGGAGGCAAACGGACTGCATAGTAATAAAAAAATAAAAACCAGTGAGTTGGTGGCTCCGCCTCTGTAAAATGGGGCAAAATGAAATTGTGTCTCTGAAAATTAAGTGAGAAGGTTCTGTCAGAGGCAGAGCAGATAAGCATCTCAGAGGCCAAACTAGAGAAATCCGAGCTTATGACACTCGATATGTAGACCCATCTGAAGCAATTCTACCCATTCAAAGCAAGGTGGACTGCAGCGCTGTTTTGTATTAGACTACATCCACGTTAGACAGTCAGTTAAAAATCTCATGAAGGAGATGTAACCTGGTTTCACACTAGAAGGGCATTTAAAAGTACTGTCCTCCCTTTCATAGACCGATAAACTTGATGTGATCATACTGAAGATGGAAGAATGGACCAGGCTTTTGAAGTCTGACCTGCTATCTAAACCAACAAGAATTGATTAGATTACTTTAATGGCTGAAACCCGCCTTGGCCTCTCTTGCCAGTCACAGGAGACGTTGGAAGCTGCACGTTAGTGACTCAAACCTTCCTTAGTAAACTGGAGATCCACAGAAGAACATGAGTTGATGTGAGGGAGGATTTTTGAAGAATTAGCCCAGTCCTTAAGAAAAAGGAACTTCTCTAGGGCCTGGGCACAGTGTTTTAAGGGTTCGGGCACCATCTGAGAGGTCTGTAGCTGCTCTCTGGGGGAAAAGAGAGGGCAGTTTGCTTCCTAAAGATTCCAGTCCTGGAAACCTCGTGGAACAGTTCTACTTTGCCATATAGCATTCCTATGATTAAGAACCCACTCAATGGCACTTGATTTGGTTTAATGATATTCAAGGAGTCCTGGTGACAAAATGTTTACACTCTTGGCTGCCAAATAAACAGTCAATAATTCAAATCCATCCAGCAGCTCTGGGGAGAAATATCCAAAAGGCTGTGCCCATAAAGACTGCAGCTGGCTAAACTCGATGGGGAAGTTCTATTCTGGCACATGGGGTTGTTTTCAGAATCTACTCGATGGCACCCAAGGATTATTTATTGTTTTTCATTGTTGGAATTCTCCTTTGGACAATGCTTAATAAATACCAATAAATCATTCTTCCTTGGCCTGTTTTTAAGCATTCTAGCGAATATTTCCATTCTGTTAAATAGCACACTCTTTTCTTCACATCAGTTTCATGTCATATAACAAAGTAAATTATAATAAAAGTTTTTCTACTTTGACCCTGGCTAACATGCTGATCTCAGCCACATATTTACCAGAGTATCTTGTCTCTCTGAAGGCTGAAGTCACTCTTTACAAATTGATTCCTCCCACTTTTACAGTCAGTATGACTTTATCCTGAATTATAGCGACACCTCAAGCAGGCCCTATATATCGACTCTGGGTACGATGGGTAGGAAGGGGGATTATCATCACATCCTTGAGGGTACAAAACATCTTTAGTGAATCCTGTATATTAACTACTTTGTGGACCAGCTATATGTGCCATGATTTATAGATGAGTCTATTTGTTAAAGTGACCTAATTATTGTTGTAATGGGAGTAATGATTCCGAGGATACACAAAGAGGGGAGAAAAGGGGGAACTGATAGCAATGATAACTATATAATCCCACTCGAGCGGAATGAATAACAGAATGGTAGGTAAACAGATACATTGGATGGAGTAAGATATGGCAGGGGATGGGGGGGATAACAATCTTAATAATATTTAATATAAGAACAACGGTTTTGGGGTGGTAGGGTGGGGGAGGGCATGGATAAAGGGGAGCTGATACCAAAGAGTGCAAGAAGAAAGAAAATGTTTTGAAAATGATGGTGGCAATAGTTATACAATCATGCTTGATCTAATTGAACTATGGATTGTTATAATAGTGGTAGAACTCTCAAATGGGAAAAAATAGAGTTCCTTATATATATAAAAAAAAGACCTAATTCTCAAAAGTATTCATTTTAGAATCTGGGGTTTACTCTCGAATCCATGAACAATCTTTGTTGTGGCTTTTATTTATGTAATATTACTTTTTGGGGAAACATTCTGATGCTTTTTCTTCTAAATTTGGGCTTAGGTTTTATAATTATTTAAATATTAGTTTATTTTTACTCAAAAGAATCAGTTAATGAAAGTGTTATTTTTGGTAGACGGATTATATCATATTTTAAAATCTCAAAATTTTAATACATTTTTCTTGACCTTCAAATTCGTGGGAAAATAAGTATTATAAAGTGAGCTATTTGAAAAGGAAAAAAAAACCATTTCATTACTGATCCTCTCCTTGTACAAAAAATAATGTGTACTTCAAATTGCACTAAGTCGTGTGCAAAAAACAATGGTCCTGGATTGACAAGGTGCTCTAATAGAAGCAGATGGATGAGCAGGCTGGTAATTAAACACAAGGTTTAACAGACGTATAACAAAAATCAGCCTTTCGGCTTGCCATTAAAAATCCCAAAGGAATGAGAAAATTTATTTTAAGATTAAGAAATCCCTATCCTGTACTGTGCTTCCAGAATAGCTGGAGAAAGAGAGGTTTTTTTGTCAAATGACAATAACTTAGCCCATGTACCATCTTGATATTATTTTCCAAGAAAACCTTACCATCTAAATGAAAGTATTTTTAAGGATGTCATAATAGAGACTATGGCAAAATATGATTATCAGAATTGTAAAAAAATCACAAACATTTTACTTGACCTCTGTTTCCCCGCCATTCCTATTTCTGCCTCACCAGTAATTACTTTTCTATTCTCACTAAAGGAACGAGAACTGCAGCACAAATCAACCAAATACTGTGAAATGTATCATCTCACCACTTTGAACGCTCTTGCAGGAGCAGGTAAAGAATTGGAATCTTCTAAGTATTTATCCCAAGAAAAATGTTTCACATTTGGGTAACCTAAAATAGAAAGAAAAAAGTGTAAATTGTAAGCATTTAAACAAAATGATTATGAGAATCTTAAAATGACCTGCAAAAATGTTGAGGTATTTTTACCATTAGAAGCTAGAAACTTCATAATATCCACATAAGAATTAACATCAGTTGAACATTCTGAAATATTCATAATAAAAAAACTGTTTTCACCTGGAACATGAAGTCTCGGTTATTTTTTAAGTGAAAAATTTAAATATGTGTATGTACCATAGAATCTTTCCATGAAGTTTTGGGAACTGTGATGGCATAGTGGGTTATGCACTGTGCTGTGAACCACAAGGTCTGCAGTTTGAAGCCACCAGGTGCTCCACAGGAGAAAGCTGAGGCTTTCTACTCTCCTAAAGATTTAGTCTTGGAAACTCTAAGTTCTATTCTGCCCTAGAGGGTCATTGAAAGCTAGAATTACTGCGACTGGACACTGAGTTTGGAGTATGTACTGATGTCTCACACACAGAGCATATAGATCACTTATATTTTTAAGTAATCATCGTCTTATAACACAATATAGGAAACAAAATGAAACCACATGTACCTTAAAGTGTAGCAATTTTAAGTGAACTAATTAAAACATGTGCATACCTATGTGTACAAAGATGGAACACCAATTTGTAAATGCAAATATGGATTTCAGGTAAATGATCATCAAATGTGTTAAGAAATGCATCTCACTGCTATTGAGTCATATCAACTTTATAGAATTGCCCTGTTTATTTCCAAGACTGTAAATCTTCATTGAGTAGAAAGCCTATCCTCCTTTGGAGCAGCTAGTGGTTTTGAAATGCTGATCTTGCAATTAGAAACCCAACATGTAATACACTTGCCCACCACCAGGGCTCCCTGCAAAAAATTACACAGTGCATATGAGATCCTAAGGATTTATTAAAAAGTTGGCAGATTCTTATATGTACTATCACAATGTTCCACTACGGCAACAAAAATTTCTGAACAGTAATAACAGGATGTGTAAAACTAACCATCCTTCCTTCTTTCTCTTCTGTTTCCTGAATTCCAAAATTCCAACAGGTAGGCACAATGAAGAATTAATGGCAGCCCTAGGTAGGGACCCAATGGAGTGGGACAACTGGCTAAAGAAAAGGGACTGAGAAAATACATACATATACTGGAGGCCATGGAAACAGGTTTCCCACTGACTGTCAGTAGAGGTATTTAAGTATGAAAGCAGAAAAATGAGAACAAACCGGGGAGGGGGGGGGCTGGGTTCCTAATGAAGCTAAGTGACTACATTCATGGTTTTCCACACACACAGATATGCAGTAATATAGATTTCTGTATGTAATTACACAATATGGTTTCTAACTATATCTACTAAGAGGGTCTATAGCAATAACACTGTAACAGCAATGACTGCACCAAGCGCCCAGATCTTAGTTGCTAAACATTACTTGCCACCAGAGAGAATGGCAGATCCTTGGACTTGTGTCAGGGAAAGCAGTAAATAAGCCATGTTGTGACAGGAAAATTCAAAGCATATTAAGATTATGCAGAAAGGTGATTAAAATCAAGTCCCACTGTCCAAATCTCAATCTGGACATAAAAATTAATTATGTAGTAGTGAGTTTATAACTCATTGATGAAAACAGGAATCTGTGAGTTCACAGCGACCTAAGTAAACTAATGGAATAAGTAAATGGGAAGAAGAGAAATTTATTCTCTCTAAAAGAATGCCTGCTAACAAATGTAAAAATAATCATAGAATTAGAAAAATTACCATTAAGCAACTGTCAGAGTAATAATTATTCATATTAGAAACTTCAGCAGATGTTAAACCTAGTGAGTGAATTTGGATGAGAACATATATTTATGCAATCTCAGGGTTATATATCCATATAACACTTATTAATCAAAGAGGAGGAAAAGAATTCTAGGAGGGGGTTTCAAAAAGTTTATGGACAAATTGCTTTATCTCTTACTTTATTTTCCCCTGAACTCTTTTGAAGCCCCTTGGGTAGTACAGGAAGTTGGCAGACACCATCTTGGAGAAGTGGTGTTAAAGAATCAGTCAGCAAAGAGCCAAATTGCCATCAGGTGCTACCCGAGAGGATGCTACAAGAGCATGACATTAATGCGCCTGCCCCACATGCATGACCTCCTGTAATCATTAGGAAACATCAATCATACCAAATGAAGTCACATTCTACAAACGACTAGTCAGTTGTCCTCAAAAATACCAAGGTCTCAGCAGATGCTCAGCAGAGCATCAAGGTGAGTAGCACTCCAAGAGGCTGACGGCTACGATCCTGGCTGGGATCCTTTTCCCTAAATGTCACCATGACGCAAATGACAGAATGTGAATGAGTCTTTGGATCAAGAATGTACAGAGTTCTGTGCTATCCTGAACAATTTTTTTCTCCATTTGAAATGGTTTCAAAATACAAATTTTAAAAAGTAGAGGCACACATACTTCCATGAATACAAATATATTTCAATAGGTTTTTAAAGAAGTGCACCTTGCATAATTTCCATTAAATCATTATTAGTAAATAAAACATGACATATAGGTATACACGTGAGCAAAAGGTTTTTTTCCTAGAGGATACAAGGACAGACTATTAGCAGGGGTAAAAGTGACTATTTCTATTTTCACTCAATTTTTAAAAACAAGCATGTATTATAGATAATTCAAAATAATAAGAAAAAGAGGACTAGGCTACAAGTTGAGAGTGAATACAAACATGGCACTGGTCCAGGGACAGGTCCCTAGAGTGGCAGCAATGAGAGGAAGATAGTTGCCTAGAGAGCCGAGGGATCGGCTCCTTCCTTTCAGAGCGGGGTGGGCATGCTCAGAAGACAGCTGCAAGGGCTCAGTGGCAAGGGGGGGTGGAGAAAAGGGCATTACTTTCATTATGTAGCCAAAGAGTATGCATACCTCATTCTGTGGTACTCAAAAACACTATTTTGTTATTTTCCTTAAGCTTTCATACAGAGATGTTTTCTTCTGAATTATAAAAATTCATGAAAAGAAGCAGATGACTTGGTGAGCGTCCCCCACACAGATGTCAGCAATAAAGGCCCTCAGACCACGGCTTCCCGGGGGTCGAGCACAGCGCCTGCTGATTACCACATACCATACCCCTGACTATGGCCAAAACTAGTGCTGAGGGCCAAGAAGGGATTCATACCAGCAGCGTGGTGTTCTGTACTTGGGGCTGTTACTAGGAGTCAGCGACAAGGGGACAGCACCTAACAACACAAGAATCCTCACAGGAGTTTATATGGTAGAAGTGGAACATGCAATCAAATTCATTAGCTCCAACATGCGCAAGCTGCAGCACACGGAGGGGGTGGGGGTGCTAACTAGATCTTCCAGGCAATTTGGTCTCAGTGCACCATCATTTCTTAGCCACGAAACCCTTGACAGTATCTTGCCTTTACTTAATACTTCAGGGTTTATGTAAAAGCTCTCTTAGGCTTCCAAAACAACCCTGCCGATTAATCAGCACCAACATTTCTTTCCCTTCGCATATGAGAAAACTCTGAAAGTGGGCGAGACTTAGCCATGAACCTCACACGAATGGCTGGTTTCACAGGCAGGGGGCCACGTCTAAAAACGAAACCAGCTGTTAGAACGGAATGAGGCAAGATTCTGAATCTCCAAACTCAGTTGTTTCTGCAAGTACACCTACAAAACGACTCTCAGACCCCTAACGTGTGAAAAGTGCAACCGTCCTCCTTTCCTGCAATCATGACACTCTTGATTACTCACACACGAGTTCCGCCGAACAAGCACATCCAGCACTCTTTGCTTTATGCTAATGCTAACCCTGCCCTCTTGTATCAGTAGTAACCACGGCACCTTAAACAGCAATGTGCTAAAAAAAACTAAACAGTGTTGATTGTAATGAAGCCACAGAAACTGCTTTTTAACATCTGAAAAGAAAGCTCAAAATGAGAGAAAACATCCTATCTGACAGCAGGTATACTGTTACCTGTCAAAGAGAAAGTAAGTAAGCCGAGAAGATTCTACGGCCAGAGGCAGGTTGGTGAAGAGCCTGGAAATTTCAGAGAACAGAGAGGAAGGCCTAGCACACAGGTGCAAAAATCTATGTTAGGATCTGGAGTCATATCCGAAGAAAAAGAAGATGCAAGTTCTAATCTTGGTAAAATTTTACATCTTAAAATTCTTACTTCAATGGGAGGAAGTGTGCTTTTGCCAGAATAGAATTCTCCATTCCCAAATGCAGTCCCCTATATCTTTGTCAAACTAGATGGAGAAAGGCCTCAGTGGGCTCAAACATAGCAACTGTGAAGATGGTGCAGGACCAGGCAGGGCTTTCATTGTGCTGTGCATGAGTTCACTGTGAGTGGGAGCTGATTCAATGGCACCTAATGTCCTCGTCATCTCTGTCAGTGCTTGCCAGACCTTTAGACAATTCACTTCTATGGGTACGCCATATATTTAAATGTAAACTAATGGAAAGTCTAGAAATGTATTTCAAGTTGAGAATCGAAAGATCGCTTTAAACAGAACTTCATTGTCCAAGAAGACAAAATTTGAGACTTCTGAATTAACAGTGCTTAAAATGCTTCAAGAGAGATCAAAGGAATGCAAACTCTGACCTGAGGGCCAGCCTCCAATTGTGATGAAGAAAGCTTGACTGGGACACATGCACATGTTGCCTATGGCTGTTTTCCTGTCACAACTGAGTCTGAGTGAGAGCTGTTATGACAGAGGGCACTTCATCTGCAAAACCTAAAATATTAAAATATTGGACCCTGCAGAAAAAGTCTGCCGTTTCCTCAAGTATGTAAAGTCTTAGACACAAACATAAAAAACAACAACCCTCAAACCTGGTGGAGTAATAAGAGTCCTTCTGTGTTCTTTACACCAGCCAACCGGATGAATGTGTGGACTAGATGCTTCACACCTGTAGGTCACATAAATTTAAAATTCTAATTATCAGGATATATTTTAAAATAGTAATAAAATGAAAAGTAATGTTAATTATACATTGTGAATACATTAAGAGCACATATAGTTCTCTTTAACATAAGCCAGCCATTTTTTTTAAATGCTAACATTCCTAAACCAAAGGATTGTTTACTGTTCCAACACATTAATACCTAGAAAATCTTTATTAGGTAAGTCATCACATGGAGTAGACACCAGCAAACAGTTTTCTTTCTCTCACTTAAAAAAAAAAATCTGCAAAACTCCAATGATTCAATATCATTGCAATTCGGAATTTCCATGCATAAAGATAGATGGAAAAATAAACTTAGACTGTGGGTACGCTGGCAAGCTAAAATATTCCAGCATTCCTAAGGGCAAACACACAGAACAGGGTGCTCGATCACACTCACACAACAGGCATACTCTCACCCATCAGAACGGCGGAGCCGAGGCATAAGAGAATTCCCTTCTTTCCCCCACTCAGTCCGTCAAGGGATACTCCAGTCAACATGTTTTTTCCCAAAAGGCTCTTTAACAACATGCATATCTAGCACTTACGGCTCTTAACCAAAATTATTCTCTGTATTACTCATCTCAACAAACAACATGTCTCCTTCAGAGTCAAATCTGCTTCCGTAACAGCTGCAGCCAAGAACACCATCGGGGCAGTTCTACTGTCATGCATGAGCGTGTCATCAGTCATAGCCAACTCGACAGCAACGGGTTCGGTTGCTATGGGCTTGGTTTATAAAATGGAGACCAGAAAGATGCTATTTGACATTGAGAAGAGGCTTTCGTTTTTTGTCTTAAGTTGGGAGCTATTTAGAAGGTGCTGAGCGAAGGAACATGGGAATTCTCTATTCTGTTTTGGAAATTTTCTCTACGCTTAAAATTAGCTCGACATAAAGGTTTGAAAAACGGTATCTCAACTATTTAAGCAACATATAATGAATTCCCATGTGCAAGACACTGCTGTCGGACTAAGGGATACAACATATCAAAAGGTATAAATACTTCTCATGTGTGTTTGCTGAGAGAAACAAGCCAACAGAGAGAGAGGGACTGAGCACACACAAGTACAGGAGAGCGAGGGCCCTTTAGGCAGGAGCAGGGGTTCATGACTCACAGTGACACACACAGGAAGGCACAGTCTATGTTATATAGATCAGGAAAGTGGATAGACATGGAGATGGACACGTATGAGGAAGTGTGTTCTGACTGGCTTTTTATTTTTCCTTCTCCCAGTGAAGTAGGTAGTAGGTTTCAGAGGAGAGGATAGGGGAGGAACTGTGAAAAGTTTGGGTGAGAAGAAAAGGAGTGGGAGATGTAACAGGTGGGAGAATAGATAGGGAGCTGTAATATCCCTGTGGAGCAAGGCTAAGGACCCACTTTGGGTCAGCGATCATGTTGTGTATCCTCTAGATGCAGCTCAAGTACAAGCATGAGGTAGCGAGAAGGATGGCGTCCACCAGAACGGGGATTTTGCCAACAAACACAACATAAGAAAGTGAGATCTTATCATGGCAATGTACAACTCACATAGAGGTTCTTAGAGCTGTCCCATGTGATTACAATCTTAAAGAAAAAGTTGGGTATGTAAGTCCTGGGATGGCAGGCATGCTTCAGGGAAGACCAAACCAGGTAGCAGCAGCAACAAACCATGGTCAAAACATTTCAGAAAAGCACAGCATCGGATTTCTCCGTTATGAGTGATTTAGCATAATGAAGACGGTGACATTAGAATATAAAATGTCAGTTTCAAATGGTTGATTCTAGCATTTCTTCAAAATACTTGATTATCAAATTGAGGAGATACGCTGTTAACATATGGACGCACCTCTATAGAACACAATTCGGTAAATGTGTCTTGCCCTATTAACCAGGTGTGTGGAATCTATGCTGAGAGATCAGGAAATCTCAATAGAGCTCTCTTGATGGTAAACAAGAAGTCAAAAAACCAAGAAAGGGCAGTGGAAAACAAATCTTACATGCAGTAAAACAAAGAATTTTCTAAGAAGTGTTTTGAGTGAACAAGGCTGGCTTCTAGTCACCAACTGCCAAGCCAAGTGTTCCTGTTAGTAGCTCTGGGCAGTACCACATAGTGAGTTGGCATTACCTCAATTTAATGATGACTGCCTCATAACTTATTTCAGTAGAAATAGCTTTAACTTTACAGCAACAGAGTTTTTTTTTGCCCTTTCGAATCCTTTATTCACCAGTTATGGCCTACCTGCTGTCCCTCACAATGCCTCATCCCCCTATACCAGGAACACACATGCATGTGTGTTGCTAATATATTAGCAATCTCAAAGATAAATGAACACTGGAAGGTCAATACTGAGTCCCAGTAACATGGTGGGTTACAAATTGTGCTGCTAACCACAAGGTTAACAGTTTGAAGCCACTGGCTGCTGTTCCACAGGGGACAGATGAGGCTTTTTACTCCTGTAAAGATTACAGTCTCAGAAACCCACAGACATTCCACTCTGTCCTATAGTGTCACTATGAGCTGCAATCAAATGGATGGCAGGGAAGTTTGGTGGGTTTTTTTTGGGTAGCCAATACTAATTTCATATAATATATATTTCCACAGAAGACATTTCAATGTATAATTCCTTGAGATTCAATTTGTTATGTATCATATAAATGAGGCTATGGAGCTCTATTTGAAACTTGAGAAATCTTTTTCTAGACTATAATTTTGGCTATGTATCATGATGCATTTTGGCTATGTATCATGATCTTTATTTTAGGGAAAGGTGTTAATTTATACACAGCCTCGTTTGCAAACAAAACAATAAATATGCTATTTATTTTACTGGCTTCTTTCCCAACCTAATAAAACTACAGAGTTCTGGAGACTTTAAATGATCTTTCAGACTCACTATGGTCATTTTAAAGTAAGAACATTGGGTATTATGAGATCTTCTGATTTTATAGGCATTCTGCATAGTCTCATTAAGGAAAATACAGTGGGCACTCATTCCTGTACTAGCTGAATCTTAAGTAAGGGTCTAGCAATATATAGATATTGATCAATGTTGCCACTGAATATACAAAAATGAAGACATGCCCATAAAGAAGATAAAAATAGGAGGAACTACTTTTCAAAAGGGAAACGACACTTCATTAAAAAGTTGGAAGGCTGTCAAATCCCTTCTGCTACTATTGTAAAATACTGGCAGGTCATCTCTTAGTCCCATCCAGTGTCCAAAAGTAAAAATGTAACACCCCAAAATGGGTTGGGTTGGGAGAGTGGTGGCAACAATGGGCCTACACAAAGGGACAACTGTAAGGATGAAGAGCTCTTGGTGCTGTGCTTCATTCTGTTACACTGGGGTCTCTGAATTGGAGCCCCTGGAAGGCATGTAACCGCAACAAAGGTGAAAGATTTGGCAAGAAGTTGGTCTCTGGACCCTCAGCTTTTTTGTTCTGTATTCTGATGTGTGTCAAGAAAGAAGCCCATGAAATCCCGCCCCCAAACCCCGCCCCAGCTTTCACAAGTGTGAAGTATTCATGAAAGCGGCTAAGATAAAAGCCATACTAGAGTGCTACGTTTTTTCAAAGGCCAGAAACAAAGAAATGATGCATTTATTTATGATAGAAAAGTCTATTTATGATAGAATAATCAAGAAAGTAGGCATTCAGACTATCATTTTATGAAACTCCCAAGAGCACAAGTGATTTTAGTAAGCTCTCAGGATGAAAAGGAAACACTCTTAGTTTCCCCAGTGTCAGGGAATTCATTCATAAAACTAATGCACCCATTGGGCTCTGCAATTTTAGGCGGCAAGTCAAGAGCATTTCAAGAAAGTTATTTGAAGAACTGTCCCTGGGTAGTACAATGATAATGCACTCATTTAACAGAAAGGTTGGTGGCTTCAAATCCATCCACAGACACCTCCAATGACTCTTAACACCACAGAATCACAGTGGGTCAGAGCTCACTCAACAGCAAACGAAAACGGAAAAAAAAAACAACAAAGAGAAGAAAACACTAAAATATCTTCGATTCAGTTGACAGTGTTCCAGACTCTATGAAGAAATACTAAATTCTTGGCCTTTCCCACTCCTTAAACCTAATGTGGGAACACTTGGCTAATTTATACCTCGGTACGCTGTTCTCCTGGCTCCCTTTATGTGCCTTAAACTCTACCAAGGGGAATTCTCCTGTTTATCCCCAAATTCATTTTCAATCCTATTGCCCACAGAGGTGGTTGCAGGTCTTATTAAGTCACCTTGTTGGGCACGGAAACCCTTCCCTTTCCATGGACAAAAGCCCCGAGGAAACATGTTCATGCCATATTTACAGTTTTCATAAAAAATACCTTCTTCAGTTCTAGGTGACATTTCCACAATTCCATTGGAATGAAGAAAAACTCCCACAACGAAGCATGTAGTAACACAAATATACAAAGACACATTTTTCAAATACCCCTTATATAAAATCATCATCCAAATCAGAGGGGGGGGGGGATTTCATATATTAAGTTGAGGAAGATAACCCAATCTGTAGTCTCAAATACATATCTAAGTAATTTTGTAGATAAAAATAATAATAGAATTCAAAGATCAAAGAATAAAATATTTAATAACACTGAAGAAATTTCAGTGCACTTCAAATTTTTCAATGTGCTTTAATTGTATGTTGAGGAAAAGAATGCGCTGAATTATCTTTGTAACAATTGACAAAATTTACATGACTTCATGTACATAGTGAATCATCCAAGCACATTGCATCCTAAAAATAATTACATTTTGTGCTCATCACAGTGTAAATCAGAGCAAAAACAGATCAAAGCTTTATACTCCTTCTAAAAAAGAACCCCAAATCCTCTTCCCTAGGAATCTGGCATCCAAGTGAAATGAACATGACAAATTTATGCGGAACTCTCCATTACTTCCCCACCCCCTAAATATCTTACTATAATTTAGGCTAAAGTTTACAGAAAAACTTAGGTTCCCCTATTATGT